CGTGCTTGGACACATTGAAATTTAGTTAAAAGGCAAGCATACGCATCCATGTGGTCTCAGCGTGATCCATCACTCTGCAAAAGTGGAGTAGGAACATATTCATTAAAAATTGGACAAATCCATTGATTAATAAAGCACGTATGATAACATTTTCTGCTTTTCGTAAACATCCTCTCATGTAAGGTAAGCAAAAATATGACAGCAACATATTTACCAGTGTTTAGCTACTTTTAGTAGTGCCTTAGTACTGTGCTGTTAATGGATTCTTTATTCACAATACTCAGGTGCTAGGTACTAAAATAATTCTGAACCTGGAAATATTAAGTCAATAGCATATAATAGAAATGGCTATACTTTTTTCCTAGGTGGTTTGTGATGAAAATGGTTCCAAGGGCTATGGATTTGTACACTTTGAGACACAGGAAGCAGCTGAAAGAGCTATTGAAAAAATGAATGGGATGCTTCTAAATGATCGCAAAGTGTGAGTATGACTATCTCGTTAATCATATTTCAGATCTGTTTTTAATAGTTCCACATCCTTCATTTTAAAAGTTAATATTTGTACTCTTAACAGACATTGGAGGGAAAATTAATAAACTACATCTTGATTTTATAATTGTGTTTTCTCCACATTGAATGTAACATTCAAGTGACAGTGGGTTTAATATAATTGACCAACATTCAAACCAAGAGAAAACAGGAGAAGGTAGGTAAACAGGGATTATAAAGCTTTCTTAAAATAAGTGCATTGTTGAAAAGTCAGGAATTCAGTCAAACTGAAATGTCATTCCTAATGTACTAATTAAATTACTTCATTTAATAGTTAAGGAAACTGGAGTTTAAAATAATCTGCTTTTATATACTAGTATGACAGACTGACAGCTGATACATACCCAGTGGGCTGAATTCACAGCCTACTCTTGTGGCCAGACTGCTGATATTGCTCATTTATTGATTTGTAGTATAAGAATGAAGCAGAATTAAATCAGGTTTTCATGATTAACCTGTCCGGAAATATACTTGATTTTTCTTGAAGTATACATAATTTTAAAAGTTGCAAACTTTTAAAATTACTGACATTGATAAAACCCATTCTACAAGGCCATTTCTACTACAGTTTGGGATGCAGATTTGATTTCATGATTTGTCAAATGACAAATCTAAAAATTTTTGTCCTCAAGGTTAGTGGATTTCACTTAATCTGGGAAAATTCAGCTCATAAGGTCTTATTGTAGATGATGTAGGTTCTTGTTGATATGTAAACTGCAGTGATGGCATGCAAGTTGGATTTTGGTTTCAAGACAACTACTTTACTCTTTAAGGTCTGGTTGATGCATAAATCACTGCATCAGATAGTATGGTCTATGTCAATTCCATGATTAAGGAAAGAGTTTGTAATATACAACTCCTCAATAATGAACCGTGTTTGCCAAGGCTAATTCTTAGAAATCTTTTCTCTCATCTTTAAATGAGAGAAATACTCAGCATCATTAGTACTCACAAATGCCTTTCAGTAGCACTTTAGGAAAAATAAAGAATGCCCAACACTGATGGGATTCCGAAGTGATTTATTTGTTTTGAGTATAAAAATGATACAGCCCTCTTTGCAAATGGTTTGATTATATGTATAAATAATCTCAAGAGCATTTGTTTTCCCTTTGAATTACTGTGATTTTTGTAACTATCCTAAGAACAAATACAGGTTGCAGCATTACTAGTGCCTGTAGTCCCAGCTATACTAAGGTCAGGAGGATTGCTTGAGCTCAGGAGTTTAAGGTTATAGTGCAATATGATCATGCCTATTAAAGGTGCAGTACATTCCAACCTGACGAAAATATTAATAGACAACTTTCTCTTAAAAAGAAAAAGTTACAGCATTATTTACAGAAGCAGAAAGTTGTAATGTTCACAATGAAATACTATTCTTACATTGAAGACTATGAAATAGAGAAGCCCCACCATGTTATAGGGAGGATAAGGAAGTAAAACCATAGGTATGTTCACTAATGAATATTTTTGAACAGATAGAGAACTTATGCTAAAACTGATATTAGGTGGGATTATGGGAGATGGTTTTCCCATTTTATTTTACTGTGTATTACAATATTCTGTAACATGTTTAGTTTACTACTTTTATATTAAGGGAAAATTACACTTTTAATTTTTTTTTTTTTTTTTTTTGAAAATGCTAAAGTTATACCAGGATTGGGAAGTTTAAATTTTTAGACAGTGGCAAAGAAAGTGCAAGGGGCACAGCAAAGATGAAAACTTTTCTTTAGGTCTTTTCATTGGTGTGTTATACACACTTTCATTTATATTGATAGAAGTGATACCTTTAACCTTGGGTTAGCTAGGGAACAGAAAGAAGTGCTCCTTTTTTGTGGTTGTTTAGATTCTGAAAATTTTTGGTAACAGTTACAGAATCAACCATCAGCCTTAATTAATCTGAACTTTATAAAATAGAATCTAATGTGACAGTCCTTACATATTTTATTAGATTTGTTGGACGATTTAAGTCTCGTAAAGAAAGAGAAGCAGAACTCGGAGCTAGGGGCAAAAGGAGGTCCACCAATGTGTTGCATCAACGAGATTTGGGAAACCATGGTATGGGATGAGCGCGCTAAAGGATCTCTTTGGCAAGGTTTAGAATGTGTCTGAATTAAGATTTTCACTCAAAGATCGAGGAGTATTTAGCTCCAACATTAATTTGGCTAATTCTTTACATACAAAAAGTAAATGAGGTGAGACTACATAGTACTTAATATTGGTAGTTATTAAATTAGCTACTGGCGCATTATATTACATAGTGCATATAGTAAAATGACCTATGCAGTTCATGATTCTTTTTAATTCAGTTTTTTTGTTTTCCTAAATCTGGTATATAGTTAAATAGAGGTTAGGATTAAGGTTAATAGCATTGGATTATCCAATTAAGATATGACTGGGAGTAATTACAACAGATTTAAAGGTTTGCTGCATGTAGGTGTAGGATTTATGATACTTATATGTCCCATCTCATCAGGTAGCAGTTACAAATCCAGTTCCATGGAATGGCAGTTTCTAGTTACAGGACAGTTAGGCTGGCCAAAGGGGGGCTTTTAGTCTAGCCAGTTCTTAGTAACATGTTTGGAACAGTTTAAAACAAGATGACTTATCAAAGATGAAGCCCAAAATCCAGATTTTCCCAGTGAACCTCCTTGGGGATAACCTTCTGGGATTCATAGGATCTTAAAAGAGTTATTCTTAGCATTTCCAAAGTAACTGTACAAACGATGATACTAATGAATGTGAAACCAGCCTGTCTTTAGGTAGATGATAACAGATAGAAAGTGTGAAATTACAAGGGATTTGCTGACCTTACCCTTTGGCTTTCTTTGTTGAACTTAGAGGTGCTTTTTCTGTTTTTGAGTATGTCAAATAATAAAGAATAAGGAAACTACGATACTTTATTGCCAGCTGACATGCTACATGTAGAACCTCCAGTCCTTTGAACAAGTTGGTTGGTTGTTAGCCATTATCCCAAATGAGACTATGTGAGTTGGGCCAACTAATACGTAAATATTCATTATTTTTTGACTTGTTTGTGCGTGGCAGAGATTGAAGTATGGGCCTTTAGGACAGGAGGGCACGCATTTCAAAAGAAACAAGGTTTATCTTGTGTCTGTGCATCTTCCAAATTCTCTGGTAAGCAAATGTGATTTTTAACCTCTTATGCCCCCAACTTCCTGAGATACCACCTGATACCACCTCAGTTAAGCTATCTCTTCTCTTGGAGGGGTATGGGGAGAAAACATCTTCAGGTAACATGCCTCCTGCTGATGAGGGTGATTCAGCTGTTTTACCACAAGGGATCCAACTCATTATTCCTCCCCTCCTTATGGAAATCAGAGGGCCAAGGCTTAACTTCTTACTTCTTCAGTTCCATATAATTAAAAATTATGGGTAAAAAAATGCAACTCTGTTTTGGACTAGAGCATAGAAGGAAAACTTTTATAGCTGTTTAAAGACATAACTTTTTACATGGAAAGAGGGAGGTATCTTTTAAGGAATACCCCAAGTATCATCTTGTAGTAATGAGAATGGTCTTAGAGGAGAAAAGTAAGTTGCCTGGGATACATGGAAAGCTTGGAGGAGGATCAATTTCTGGAGTCTTAGAATTTTTGTATCCCGATTTTTTCTTACATGGCTTTGTTTTATGTTGGAAATTTGACATGTACTGAACTAAATGTGTATGGAATATCTCTGAATTATTTGAAAAAATTTTTTAGGCCCTGCCTTAAGTGTGAAGTAATGACTGAGAAGTCGGAAAAATCCAAAGGATTTGGATTGTAAGGCTTGAAAGGCATGAAGATGACTACGAAAGTAAGACTTAAATCTACTAATAAATACAGTATGGTTCTTTGCTGGTATTCAAGTAGGAAGAAGGGATATTGAGTTGGATCCCGCCGTGTGAACATTTATTGTGACACACCAAGGCTTATTTGTATATATGTCTTCATTATTTTTCAATTATTTACATTTATCATTGTTGTTGGAAATATATAAAGTGAGAAAGCCTATGAGTTGTACCAAAACCTAAGATTTGGGTCATGGATCTTTTGTTCAGCTTTTGTTAATTTAAAAATTTACTGTTAAGAGAAATTGGCCAGATAGATGGTAGAGCGTCACCATGCCTGTAATCCTAGCACGCTGGAGGCTAAGTGGGAGGAGTTGCTTGGAGAGAGGGAGTTCCAGGACCATATTCTGAGCAAGAGTAAGACCCCCACTGACTACAAAAAGAATAAAATCCACCAAGGCATTGTGGTGTGCGTCCGTATAGTCCATACCTCACTCAGGAGGCTGAGGGCAGAAGCATCCACTTAGACCCAGGAGTTGGGGGTTGCACTGAGCGTAAACGAGGTTCGTGATCGACTCTACTCAGGGCAGCAGAGGAGACTGCTGTCTCAAAAACAGAACAAAACCAGACAGCGCACCTTCTACACACACACCCATTCTCAAAAAAAATTTATAATTCTAAACTTTAAAAATTAACCTGTTTAAAGAAATGAACTAAATATATTACAAGTTATTAATAGGAAGTTTTATGAGGTTTTTTCTTTTATAAGGCTGTGGATGAATGTAATGAAGAGGAGCTCAATGGAAAACAAAGATCGGTGGTCGAGCTCAGAAAAAAGTGAGAACGGCCAGACGGGGAACTTAAGCGCCAAATCTTTAACAGATGACAACAAGATAGGGATCACCAGATACCAGGTTCATTTATATTGAAACAAGCAAATAAACAAAAATAAGGAAAACCTGATGTTTACATTCATTTCAGGTTACTGCCAAGTAGCTGGGGTTTGAAAAGGATAGAGAAGAAACATGGGATAAATAGTAGTAAAGTACCACGTATGGTTTCCCTTTCTAATATTCTTCTTTTTAGGGGTGTATAACCTTTATGTGAAAAATCTTGATGATTGGTATTGATGTATGAACGTCTTCGAAAGAGTTTTTCTCCATTTGGTAACAATCACTGTGCAAAGTAAAGTCATATGGTGCAGTTTTTTTTGAGACAAAAAGATCGCCCATTGTCGTAATATAAAGTTCACATTAATATACCCACTAGAGTCGATTTCCTACTTTGTAAACAAGAAGTAGGCAATAGTTTTGCTTCCAGGAAAACATCAGGGTTGTTTTGGTTTTTTTTAGAGAAAATCAAGTTGTTGCTTCATTCACAGTTCATTGTTGAAATAGATCGTTGTAGATTTTGGTCAGTATACTCCATCAGGATGATGATTTTCTGAATCATTCCCAAGGAATGCTGCATTGAGGACCATAATTTGATCCTTCCACATGGATGTGCACTGTCCATACTCTTAAATTAGTTATTATTACTAGTTTAAAGGAAGTGAAATTAGGAACTACTGTAGTTCTAGATCTGTTCAGTTTACACCAATTCATCGTGGGTAAGTCTAACCTCAGCCTCCCCCCCCCTCCAGCTATGCCACCCATGAAGGTAAAGATAAGAGGTCATGATTACACCTTTTACTTGAAACAGAGATTAAGAAAACACAACGTGTATAGAGGATTACAGGTCCAAATTCTTGAAATTTTTTGATTCAAGAAGCCTGTACTCTAGAGCTTTGCCAGTGTCCGTGGTCTAAGAATCCCTTCTGGTATGCAAATTTTTGCTATGGTATATAATTTGTTGGTGTGGGGAAGAGTGCACAGGAAAAAGTATAATATTCACTAATATGCAGGTGGAACCTGTAGCTGGTCTTTCGTACTCAGCTCTCTTCTGACCACTCCAAGGGGGCGTTATGAGGAAGAGGAAATGTTAGGGGCGCAAGGTGAGGCGCGGAATACAAGTATAAAAAATGACAGGTGCAATAGGTTTCCTCTATGTTTCTATTCAGCTGTGCTTTTCTAAGAGTACCTGAAGGTGATTAGAGTTTATTCCAATGTCTCTATCCCTTAGTGGTGTTCACTGAAAGTTGTTTAAATGAGCATTTGTCAAGTTTATTTGTGGGTTATAAAGCAGGCATGTTTTTCAAATAGGGAATCTTAAGTCTATCTTTAAAGAGTCCTGTGATTGAAATATCACTCACTGGCTTGCAGAGAGGTGAAAAGGGTTTGGCAAGAATTTGATTCTGGAGGAGGAGGTGCGTTGATGTTAATGTTTTAAGTAACTTGCGTGAGAAACAGGGTTTATCAAATAAAGACAGAGGGTGAAAGGAGTGACCCCGGTCATTCGCCCTATTTTCGAGTCGGGTGGTACAGAGATGCTGTTGCAATTATAAAAAAAAAAGGAAAGAAGCCCTTGCAGTTTGGGTTCCTTCTGGCGTTAGCATAGCTTGTTGTTTCAAGGCACCTTTGTATATTCAGTATTTAGAAAATGGGATCATACCTCACGAATGAGTAACCTATCTAGGACCGACATGTTGTTCAGGGTATTTTTTGTATTCTAAGTGCCAGGACAGTTCATGTTAGTAGTTGTACCGTACTTTCATGGTTTACCGTACCCTCGTATTGATGAAAATTTGCGATTGATTTCACCGGTTTCCCAGTGTTTAGACCCATTGCTCTACTAAGAAACATTAGCAAGTGTTCCTTCCACCGCCGTTGCCGTTCTAAGATGCGTAGAAATTACGGCATGGAGCACTGTGGTTGGCGCGCAGTCAAATTGTATTTGTGTGTGCGTGTGTTGCTGTTTTTTTTTTTTTTTATTTCGGGCGATATTGATGGCGGTACAGAGTTGTATAAGTGTTCAATTAAATCCCCATCCCTCCCTCCCCAGAAAATGGTGATTTTTGTTTTGACTGTAGTGATACGACTTTCAAATGTTTTACGTAGGTTTCACCTTTTCATTGTATTTTATTAAACTTTTAAATTTTTCTCTTTTTTTTTTTTTTCCTCCTTTCTATGGGCATGATGCTGAACCTTTGTATATTTTTATATGGGGTTTGTCTTTATTGATTTAGGGAGCATTTGTTTTACATTGCAAATATTTTCTCCATGGTCTTTCACTTAGAGTTTTGTATCATTTTAGAAAGATTTTCTCTATTTTTGCATTTATGTTC